TTTTTTTTTTTTTTTTTTTTTTTTTTTTTTTTTTTTAAGCCCAGGGTGTTGTAGAGGCCAAGGACCAGACCTGCGGTGATTGCTGGTATCGGCAGCCAATGGTTGTCCTGACAGGATGGGCCACCTACCCTACCCATCCCCATGTTAATACTCCCAGCGCACCCCCTGTCCCTACTATCCTACCTCAGTGTGACCATTACTCAGGACCATCACCCTACCAGTATTGAGGGCAACTTGAACCAGACAGCAGTGACAAGCACCAGGGCTGGGCCAACCTCCCAGCCCTAATGGAAGCGGAAGCAGACAAACCTTGCCGCATGGGAACTTCGGACGCCAGGCTCATGCAATCTTCCACAGGCCCAATTCAGAGAGTCTACCCAACAGGATTACCTAAGCAAGACAGGCCAGCGCCTACGGACACATCTTACCGTCCTTCCCCTAGCTTACGCAAGGCTAGGCGGAACTCAGACTAGCCGGAGCGACTTATATCCCTACCCTATCATAGAGCTAAGCCATGCATGCGTAGACCCCGTCATATACCTGATAGATCCCCCCAGCCCAGTATCGCAGTTGTGTGTATGTGTGTGTGGCCAGAGGCTATGTATGTTTGTATGGGCCCATAGGGCCATGTTTTTGTGTCTGCCCGAAGGCTATGTGTGCTCTGTGTAACTGTGTAGTGAGATATGTGTGCCCAAAGGCCAGATATGTGCAGTACTACGTAGAGGGAACTATGTGTTCGTTTTTGAGAGATGACAGGCCAAGCTGGACAAGGCCCCCCCCAAAAGTCCCAAGCCAGACTTGAACCCGTGATCTATGACATGTGACCTGAAGACTCTACCATTTGAGCGACAATTGCAAACGACCCATGTGTGATATGCCAGACTGGGGAAGAGTCTTCAAATTGCAGCCTTGCACATGGACACCGGCAGGGCGTTAGAACGACGCACGGCTGGACACACACCCCCTTGGGCTGACGCACGGTAAGCTTATACAGGCACTGCCCTCGCACCACCCAAGGGGTTGTCCATGGTGTTGTATGTCGGGTCTTGATACTGCGTGGGTTGCTTGTGGCTGTTGCTCGTCTAACGAAAGATTTGATCTCATTTGGCACATGTGGTGAGTAATGGAGCAAGGCCACATGTCACGATCATTGCCAATTCTGTCTGTCTGTCTGTCTGTCTGTCTGTCTGTCTCTCTCTCTCTCTCTCTCTCTCTCTCTCTCTCTCTCTCTCTCTCTCTCTCTCTCTCTCTCT